TGACAAAGCCGTACGGCAACTCTCAACAATCTCCAGTGAGCGCTCCTCTTTGTTTATTATCCGCTATCAATATATGAAACCTGCGAAAAAGGAATCCGAAGACTATATCACTTATGCCGGTAGAGTCAACCTTGAATGCGAACAATTCAAGTTATCTACCATGGCGTAAGACCGGTTCAAGTATCTTATTTTCATATGTGGTCTTCAATCGCATTCAGACAGTGATATCAGAGCGAGACTATTGAACAAGATTGAACAAACTTCTGAGATAACGCTGCAGTTCATTACCCAAGAGTGCCAGCGCCTTTCGAATCTTAAACACGACATGACCATGCTGGAGAAACCCTTATCCAACCCTGCCTCCAGCATCGCCAAGACGACATCCAGGCAACCTCCCGTGGTAGCAAATTTGAACGGAGCAAAGCCCCCTTCAGCATACTGGCAATGCGGCGAATAGCATTTTGTGCGATTGTGTCCGCACAATCGACTCAGGCACAAGGAAAGTCAGTGCCGGACGCGGAAAGCTAGCCAAAGACGGAGCCAGTCAGAACCCCAGTTAAACGCAATACTTGCAACAACTGATAACCAGATCGATGCTCGTTACAATCAGAGCAAACGGAAGCACGATTCGATTGCAGCCTGACACGGCTTCTGGTATTACGACTGTTTCCAGGCCCGCTTGGAGAAAGATCGGGTCACCGAAACTCAGACCCCAACAATGAACACTGCCAGAAATGTTTCAGGTGGTAGGCTTCAATTACTTGGTGAATTCGAATGTGATCGTGGTATTGTCTATCTTGCTATTTGTGAGCTCAGTCTCCTGGACATAGACTGGATCGATCGTTTGTATCTTTCAACACCACGCCGTCCCTGGTAATAGTGTCATGACTGTTTAGTATATTGCCAACCGGCGCAAACTACCCGCAACAGATGGAGGGCTAGTGGATTTGGTAAGCAAGGCCGCTGATTGGCTTAGGTAAACGTGGTCCACGGGTGCAACCTGTAAGTTGCATTAAAAGGCCGTGCACACACAAAACTATGGACCAAGGTTCAAGACGAAGATCTTGGTCCGACAGGTTTTCTTGTAGACTGAAGTAGACAGCGCGGGAAATTCAGACCAAGGGTTCAGTCTGTTGAGCAAATTGCTCAAAGTGAGTGGCAATGCCAGTCGTCCTTCGTGAGTGGACTCACATCAATATTCGCCATTGGAAAGCATTTTAATTCGATATCTTACAAGGAATTGCTGCGTTCTGACCAGATTCCATTTTTTAGAGTCAAAGATACTTTTATGTACAAAAGTGATGCTCTTCCTAGAAGTTTAGAGTCGAAACTTAGAAGAGCCACTGGTCTTCTTTCACCAACTAGTACCTCGCAAGAGCTCAATAAATTCAAATGTGCGGAATTTCTTATTGTTAGTGAACTTAAACAGGAAAAATTAGGAAGCAGCACAACTTCCATTTTCTCCTCAGATTCAGAACTTTCTTCCTGTCTAGATGACCTTTTGAAATTTATCTTACGTCCACAGGCAATCGAAACGGCAAAATAAGTAGATCAGCGAGTTATTTTGCTGAGTTACTGGGCTCCACTCCAAGTCTCACAGACGGCTGGTCCTACTCAAATCCTGCGCTGCAGATGGCAAGTGTAATCAGTTTCGCTGGAATACTTCGACTTACAGCTAGAAATATCAGATTCGTTCGCTGCAGTGGAGCTTTCTCAGTGGTGAATGACCTGAACGAACAGGATGGATCACTAGAAACGTCCGTCGCGCGTGACCCATGCGTATCTAGTGATCGTAAATTCTTCTGCTTCGATTATCTATCAGCTGGGTTCCGAATACGATCCAGGTGCAGTCCATCATTCTGAGGTCCCAACAGTTCAAGAGATTGAGTGGCTTGCCCGGAGACCGTTTGGCAGATACTCAGATCCTTTCCTATCTACAAATGAACTGACCGCCGTCTATTTCTCAACCAAATGGAAATAATGGTCCACATCTACCGAAACACTCATTACCAATGTGGCCAAACTGTCCGGAGTTAAATAACCTTTTTTGCATTGTTCGCAATGAATAAATCAGGTGAGAAAGATCGTATGCGAATGTTGTGTCTTGAAAACTGTGCTTGATTACCTCTTTCACCCACTGTGGTACGCCAAAAAACATGGTAGTTTGGGACAACCGTTTGTGGAGACAAAAGATCGATACTTTACTTATTGCTACATCCATGGGGTTATCGTGGAATTTTTCACAAGTTCAAGCGAGAATCTTCGTAATCCTACGAAAAGAGCCGAGCCAAAAATGTTCAGTCCCGAGTGGCTCGTTCTCACCAATCAGCGCATAGCTTTGTACGGTCCGTAGCTGGCCCGCGACACATTCCTCCAATCAACTTGATGCACGGTTATTCAGAGCTATCCGCCTGTGAACATCTGGTGAATCGCCTGCAAACATACTTGAAAGTAATGCATTATTCATAAGACTGCTGAAAACTCTTCGGAGAGGTAAAATTTCGGACAAGATCGCTGTTAGCCCTAATAACGTACAAACACAAATTGGGGAAATCGTTGGCATTGCTTCGGTTTTGTCGTTGGATTTTTCAGTGTGATCTGAAACACGACCGACAGCAATGATGTAGGGGTGCACACGCCAATCAAATGCTGAGACCTAAATAAAAAATGTTGTGCGTTATCTTTGGTCTCGTTTAAACCACAACTGTGGGCCGTGAGCAAACGAAGGTGATATGCGCGTGAGCTACGTGAATAAAGTGATCACATTTGTAATGCATGTCAACCTCCTAATGAACGCTAGTGATATGAGTTAGATGATACAACACTTATCGGCTGTCGAAGGTTTCTCGCAGTATCCGGGTTTAGGTGTCCCTCATTGGACAGTATAACTAGAGACCGCGGTCCGAGGTTTTGTAATCAGAGCCACGAGTAACCGCGGAAGCAACAAAGTCCGAAGAACAGTACAGACCAAGGCGAGTACAAAGGCGAAGAAGTCACTGAGCTCTGGTTCGAATTCGCGATTGTGGCGTATGAAACTGTGAGCGTTGGGGAAATTAAAGCATACCATAAAGTATCAAGTGAATACAGACGAGCACTTGATGAAGACAAACTAATCACTTTTCGATGCCAATGAAAAGGAACAAGATGATAGCAACGTGAGAACTAATATACACCGGACAACCATGACAAACACGCCACTCGATTGAAATAATCACAAATAGTAATGTTAGTTCCTTCGCTTGGGAACTCTACATTAACCTTTGAAAACACAATCGCTTGCTGAAAATATCGTATCCACGCCCGTTTAGAGTGAACGTGCGAAATACATGGCACATTGCCTCTGCCACTTTCAGCTACTTCGCAGCTGATTCCTAGCTCCTCGATGGGCACGTTTGCCTGAGGTGCTTCGAATCAAAACTCACTGATTCACGGAAACGCTGATTCGTGTCAAATGGACAACAGCCATGGTGGTTATTGGTGTTTTGTCATAACTGCCCATCATTGATTGGCCGTCCGTGTCGTATAAAGAGCTGGTCACTCCAGTCGTATGACCCGTATCCTCGTTTGTGTGCGCGCCCCAAGAACATGCTTGCCACAGTCCATCGTTCACTTCCATCAGGAGCATCTTTCACCTTTCTCTTCGGATGTCATCATTCAGGCGCATCAACACGCATTGGTAGCACACCTGCCTCGCGTGTCAACTATCTGAAGTTCAGTGCCCAGTACTACCAACACAAGCAGAACTCAGAATAATCGCTTAGAGATAGGTTGGTTGTTCAGCCGAGTGATGTCGATGCAAAACCTCCTTCACAACTAACTGTGGTGAATAATGCTGCTCCGTGCTGAAGAAAAAAGATCTGGCTAACATGAAAAAACACTCCTTACTTCGAAGATAGGGCGAATATCCCAAAATGGCTGATTGGATTATTGTAAACTGCAAACCGGATCACAACAGTGTAGCAAAAGTACGAGGAAAGTCAACAAACCGCAGTCGGTACTGTGAAGGGAGGCCGAGGCGTGTACACCAGTTAGGTTGCCTGCGAGGCGGTTTGGATGTAGTTCATGTGGGAAGTGACCCCGTCCATTATGGATGAGAAGGGAGTTTTCATGGGAAAATGATCGTTGGATGCGTAGGGATTCGTGAGGGAGCATTTACGATTACATAGGAGTTAGCTGCTAACGAACACAACAGAAAAACAGACGAATTGCTTCCGAAAATGCTCCAAAAGCGTGGGAAAGTCATGAAGATCCGCTGAACGACCAGCCGTTAGTGGTACATCTCAGACTGCTCGCTGAGTCTATAAACAGCTTAGCTCTTCTTAGTACTATTTGGCAGTAGTCAGTGTCTTTTATCCTTACACATATGAATTAGTAGACCCCTGAACAGTAGTACATACCTTCCTATACTCTTGTTGCTTATTCCAGTACAGAACTGAGGTAACCTGTGCACTCACCAGGTTGGAACTTGCGAGTACGTCATCGATACGCAGACCAAGCACATCACTAATATTCCAAACACTGAGTAGGCCAAAGTCACGGAATACAGACGCCCGAACTCCTTGCAAAAAATCACCGGTCCGCAAACAAGCTCACTCATGCTTATTAACATTAAGAGAATGCACCAGTGCCTGATCAAGGCCGATGAGCCCAAGTGCTAGTCAACACGTGACTGAGGTTATTCTAACAAGTATTCATTCAGTTGGTTTTGTGCACATCCAGTCAACTGGCTTTAGACTAGCCATCCCAGAAATGCTGCTTCAGTTCAGCGTTCGTACAGTTTAGTACAAGGCTCCAGCACTTTTATTATCGACGATTACATAAAAATGCAAATCGGCTCAGAGTGAGAAAAGCCATGGGTCTCGTGTTTAACAGATCCAGTGTGTGATGAAATCCCCAAAACCCTAGAGCCAGTCGGTTTGGAGCCGAAAACTGGGTTCGTCGGCTACCAGAACCGAACTATCGTCTACAAGAAAACCAAAACTAAGCGCTCTAAAAGTATATGAGTTTAGTCGACCACAGACGGGTGGGTCATCGCAAAAGAAGTTAGAAAAGTTACAAGTATGCTGCCTGAGACATTGAGCAACATGCACTACCCGTTTAGAGAAACAAGTCAGGCTGATCCACTGCGTATCGGTTAAGTAGTACTTGGCTGGTAGATAAGATGATCGCAGTTAGACTCCCGGTTTCTGCTGTTCGTTGTGCGCATGGATGATTAACTCATTTCGCGTGATTCCCTTCAGCATAGACTAACAAGATGACTTTTAGAAGGAAGATGTGAGGTTACAAACCCTCAAATCTCGCAATTAGTATCAGGTAGCAGAATCACCAAACAAAACAGGTACACTAGAAGTAACCGGTAAGCTCGTTTCGGATCACTGGCTGTGAGTCGACAGGACAAACATAAGATTACGTGTAAAGAGTCAATTCAATAGAGAACTATGAACCGGCCGAAAATAAATTCACCCGTGTATTACATTAGTGTGTAGACCGGAGTACCAAACGTGCAGACATCAAAATGCGAATAGAGGTTACAAGAGTGAAAAATGCGTAGAAATGCCAACACCAGTAGAAAACACGAATATAGAAAAAGTAGGGGAGCGAGGTATCGTCTAACATTCATTCCTCGCACACAAAATATTCGCGCCGCACTCGTTTCACGTGACCATTTGGATGATCAGGCGATTCGGACAAGCGTCTTCTAAGAGTCGCCCGGGGACGACGGCTCGGTACGGAAACCAGATCGACTGACCAGTCAAACGAGTCACCAAACTCTGACGCCACTTCGTCATAGACTGTTCCATCATCATCCTGCAGTTGTCGAGGCCTTCGTTTTAAAGTACTAGAAGACCACGGCTCTCCAGGAAGAGCACTTTCGGGTTGATCAAAAGCAGACGATGGCACTTCATCCACATAGACAGTTGCATACGTACGGTCCACAACTTCTGTGTGCCTGTCTGTGAGCAACCAGTCCTCCAAAACTTCTTGATTGCTGCCACGAAAATCAGACCGGTTTCGACGAACTCCGACCAACTTCGGACGGTTAGCAATGGAACAGGTGCTACTGTCGTCTGACCAGGCAGTATCGTAGACTTCTGAATAGATGGAACTGTCGTTGTCTGTCCTATGGGCTTCGTACGTTGGATTGAAATGGCCTCGATTTTCGAAGTCCCCTTCAGCCAGTTGCCAGCGCAGGTTAGCAAGCTCCAAATCGTTCAAGCAAGACCGTACCCGTTTTGATTGAGAGCATTCTCGTTCCGCTTCCTCAACCCGACTACGGCGTTTTTGTGGTAGCAGAAGGACGACATTTTGACAAGTTGGGCAATAAGCAGGCCAAGAATTCACACATTCATGTTTGGAACCGGAAAACGATGAAACTGGTATCGGGCGCCGCAGTACGATTGAGTGGTAATCCAGCAACTCTGATAAGGAAGCTGTAAGATGTGACAGCTGGCTGAACGGGGCGTCGGTGGTTGAACTCAAGCTCAGGCAGGATGCAGCATCACCTGACACCGAACGGTTACGTATAGTACACAGCAGATCAAGCAATCGAGCCTTGCTGTATCGTTTACGCGTCTTCTTAGCATCCACCTTATCCGTGCGGTTCTTATGCGCCTTCAAGCGATCCAAAAACGCCCACTTCATAGCTGTGGAAGATAGAAAGTGACCGGTAAAAACGAACGGATGCGTGGTCGGGATAAAAGGTTGCTAAACGGGATTACCAAACCCACGATATGAGGACTGTATGGTCTCAAAGTACCAAGAGCACATTCTAAGGAGGGATTTTCTGGTGTGCCAGTTCATTAGTGAGACAGCTTTTTGAGACCAAGGTTGTGCCACAGAATGGTAACTAGACGAGATTACCAAACCCACGATATGAGGACTGTGTGGTCTGGAATCACACCGAACTGCTTTCCGTTGTGGGCACGATATTATTTTTGTAGTAGTAAAACATGTTTGTGGTACTTGCACTGCTTTGCTGCAAAAGTAAACAAACACTCCAAAACTTTTTTGAGAGTATCATTTGGACACCTTGAGTGAAAAATAAATCAATATTCGAAACGGGTGGTCCATTCGAAATAGTGAGCCGCAAATTCGTGATTGTAACAATCGATAGGATACCCAGGACATTTGTCATGGATAGTGATTTAGTAGGTGAATAGAAACTCCTCCCCGATGGGTCCTTATTTATCCGGGAATATCGCCATTTCCTGCAGTCTTCTATCATGTAGTAAATTGGGTGTACTAGTAGCTACCTAAAGTGTGAACACTTTCATAACTTCGCAGCCAAGTTTGTTAAAACTGCAGCATGATTTCTCAGTGAACGGTGAGCCAATGGGTTCTCAAAATACCAAGAGCACATTCTAAAGAGGAATTTTCTGGTGTGCCAGTTCATTAGTGAGACAGCTTTTTGAGACCAAGGTTGTGTCACAGAATGGCACCTATATACAGGACGACTGAACTATGATTCTGTTTGTCCAGTAAGCATACAGCGCTTTCTGTATGGCTCATTATTTTCAGTTGCACATGTTCAACTAGCAAAAAGTGAATTCTTCATAAGCAATGTAATCCTAATCTACTGTGGACGGGACACAGCTCATTACTGATAGAATATTGTATAGAGACCTGAACAGGAGGTGCAGTAATACGGCAACGTTTACTCATAAGACGAGAAAATTGCATGTGGCGAAATACAGATTTGTGTTTGGGGAGGCCAAAATTATGCTACATAGGGCAGCCTTCAGGTAATTTCGAAAGTCTTGGCTCCAGCTTTGGGAGAAATATAATACTTGATAGAATCGTCTAGTTTCTGCACAAGGCTGAGACACAACGTGCCTCAATGCTCAAACGCAAGCACATCACTCAGCGATTTAGAATCGCGGTCGTACAATGTCGAGCACAACCACACATACCTGGATCTGTGCACCACACACACTGGATCTGTGCACCTAACTGGCGCAAATGCTTGGGCAGAATCTGACCCGCAGGTCAGCATCACTCTAAATCACCATGGGAGCACCAGTGAATCGCCTAGGTAAGTCCTCAATTCTAGCCCACGTGTGCCAAAGGTAAGTCATCCCCGATTTCTGACCAACACCTGTCATACGAGATGACAGTAACAGCAGTGATCCGATGACTGGTTTGCTCCTTGACCCTCCATTCCCAGATAAATAGTGCCATCCCCGATGACCAACACCTGTCATACGAGATGACAGTAACAGCAGTGATCCGATGACTGGTTTGCTCCTTGACCCTCCATTCCCAGATAAATAGTGCACTAGTAGGAATCCTACAGAGAGCACTACAAGAAATGCGCTATTCCAAGAAAACCTGTAGGAAATGACGTGTGAGGCCAGAAACGAAAGGACTTTTGCTGGTGCTTGGTGTTATGTCACTATGCCTACATCAACTGAAGGCTCCAAACAAATCTCTTGGCATTTCCCCACCGATCTTTGATCCTTCGGATTTACATCAGCATCAGCGACTTGCATGCTACACCACACTCGGTTCCACACAAACTACTAGTGGTCTGTCTGCTGTGTGCAGATGTTCAGTGGACTGTTGACTAGTAGATCCGTTTTGGACGCCAATCAACCACATACGATGACGAAGGCAAGTACAAATAACAGGGCGGACATACGAACCTAGCGGTTTTTTAAATTAAAAACAGCATATAGTTGACCCTCAATCCCACTTTGATGGCATAGTATCTGTGACTAACAAGCTAATCCTAGCTGACACTAGAAAAGCAAATCAGAAGATTGATAAAATAACGGATACGGATCTTTCCTACAGGGTGTCGTAGAATGTAACCTGACTCGGACTCCCACAATTGCTGAACACTGCAACACGCCGAGCAATTTGTGGTGGGAGATTGTGCAGTAAAGCCAGAGTTCTTCGTTGAAAAATCTTGAACAATCGCCTTCTGTGACGCGAACCACGATTTAGAAAGGAATGGATTATGACAAACATACAATTGCACTGGCAAATCTGCAGGTCACATTTTAGGCACGAGAACTGACACGTGTCGGTTGTGCAGCGCGCAAGTCTTAGAAACTACATGCTCCACAACACCCCCTAAAAAGCTTCTAATTCGGTAAAAAAAGTTTTTCGGACTGAAGTTACACAATGCGAAGTTAACAAAAGCGTAACTCGAAATTGTCGTCCGTGATATTGAGCCTGAGTGTCTATATGACCCAAAATGTAGTAAAATTTATCCACGGCCCGCCATTCATAAACGTGACTTCACTGTCGGTCAGATAAGATGCTAAGTGTTAAGGAGGGTGCAAAATAAAGTAATCGCACAGAAAAGTTACCAACTGCCACAGCGTTATCGATTTTCGTCCAATCACCGGTATCTCGCGCTCGCGAGTGGTGATACATTCTTGTGTGACGATTGCAGTATTCTGTCATACATTAACTTATGGGTTATGGTGGGTCGAAGAGAAACAGCTGCCATTGGGGAAATGGCACCGAACGAAAGCGCTATCAGGACGTCAAATGACCGTTAGTCCGTGAAAAGTCAGCAGGTTTGACCAATCACTTTACAATTATCCAACACCTGTCGGCCGACAAAAAACGACGGCAAGACCAATTCTCCAGCCCTTTGGTTAGTGCGAGTAAATTTTGAACGCGAATGCGATCTTCCGGGGATCCGGTTTAAATTAGTCCGAACTTTCCCAGCACGTATGAATTTTGCTCCCGGGTTAGATTTCAAACACTCAAGAGCACAGTCGCACTAGTCACTAGAATTAACCAATGGTTCCGCTTTTGGGCACAGTCAACCACATGGCAGCCATTTGACACTGCAGTTCGTCAAAGCCTGAACAAATTGATCAAAGGTGGAATAAACCTGTGCCAGTAACACAGCCGTCGTTCTAAAACAGTCTTCTACAGGTCATGAGATAGAGACTTATTTGAACAGACTAAACGAGACACGGATAGCGGCACAAGAGTTTATAAACTACAACGAAACTGTTGTTCAGCGCAGATCCTATCCCGTTCGACAACGACGTCACGAACACGGCGGGTTGAGGTGCGTGAATGAAGCGAACGCACAAATTCAAGCTTAAATGCATTTTCAGACTTGTCGGTAAAACAAATCCATAGCATCGTCATTATGGTCGTCCAAATTCAAGGCCACTTGGTGGTTGTTTGTGCCGTTAAGAGGACAGCGGATAGACCGGTAGGCTTAGATCACAAACATCCTCAGCGGCTTATGTCGGATGCCACATGTGCTACAATGACGCATATCTGTTGACGAACGACAGGGGTGAGATAAAATTAATCTTTGACATCCTTAGCGCTTATGTCGGATGCCACATGTGCTACAATGACGCATATCTGTTGACGAACGACAGGGGTGAGATAAAATTAATCTTTGAAACGTTTATCTCGCACCGCACAGTTTCAGTGAACAAGCTGACTGCTCTTGTGTGTCTGCCGTTTGTGTGCTCACAGCAAACATACAGTTTGTGCATGAACATGAAATGGGCAGCGCGACGGAACGGACCAAACCGACACACACTTAACGACACTAGGGGAGATTAACTGTGCGCAGCAGTCTCGTAGATAATGAGCCAAAATTCAACGGCACTGACATGTTCCTTCAAAATGAATGAATGTTTTTTTTTCAATGGAAACCTAACGATCCATAGCAGGAACAACAAAACATTAGATGAGCCATCCTGTGACGGATGAACCTAAAGTCATGACAACTAGCAAGATCACAAATCTGACCATAGAGATGAGCCAGCCATAGGAGAATAGGTCGTGAGTATTTTAACCATCCGTACATTAGAAAGAAGGCATTTCGTTGTCACAGGGAGCAAAGAAAATCAATAAGACATTCAATCGATCCCCCACATTGCCTAGAACTCCATAAACGCCAAACCACGTTTGTAAAGCAAAGGTGAGTACGTGATATTCCTTAAAACATTTTGTTGTCCTGTTTAGTGAATTTCAACTTACGGTCTTGCTTTCTAAAACGCGTTGTACTACTTTAATCATGGACGAGATTAAAAGTTTCCATTGGACTGTTGTAACCTCACCTAAGGGTACCAATTTCACGAAGGTGAGTCGTATTGCCTCTGAAAACAACTGTCTGATTGCGGATAACACGGAAACAGAAATTAACTGAGTGCATGAAGCTGGCAACATAGATATATTCATACTTTGGAAGTCAATAATTGCTAACTAAAAGCGCCCATAAAGATGGCAGATTCCAAAGAATCCGGGTAGTTTGTCCCTCGGGAGGAAGCATTAGGCCATAGATACCACTTCCGTTGAGCCATTGGGACGTACTCCAGTGATAAGCTCTCTTCCAGAGGAAGCTAGTTCAACTTTTATTAGATATTATTCGATAAGACTCGAGCGACCCTGTCTATTTCTCTCTTCACAATACCTTCTTTGTTCTACGCGAAAACCACAAACCTCGCTTCGCATGAATATGATACTGACAGACTAAAGGTATCTTCGGTTTCATTGGAGAGCTCTATTGACAAGTAAGTGTAGCGGTAACCGAAACCATCAGGTGGTAAAAAACGACAAAATGTTAGGCAGAAGGAGACTGCTCAGCGTAACTGGTGACCGGGACAATTGTTCGCGGGGTCCGTCCACGGCCGTTAGGTAGTGGAGAAACGAGGCTGATAGGAGGTTAAACTTATCCACAACAATGAAGACTAACACACGGATGGCCGAGAATATTCTGACTGCATGCCCGAACAGCAACTCCCCGTACGAGAAATACCAACTCTGTCACTGAAAACAGCAAATCAAGGTCTTCATAATGGAACGAGAACGTGTGGTATTTTTTCGGAATAACCAAGCTGTAAAAAGGATACTGTAGGGATTGCTTCCGTAGTTTTACGATGAAATTGGGGGAATCTTCAAGAAGACACAGGAAACCTAATAAGATGGACAAACTATCAGCTGTACTTTAGGTACAAACTTAGTGGATCGAGTCACATAATGGATACTCATGATAGAAGTACGATTGTGACCAACCATTGCACCTCATAACAGCCTTAAATGGTCACTGTAACATAAAGTGGACTTGTGTGCCACTATTATCATCAGGAATTCTCTGGTGGCAATGTTAACCGCCAAAACAACTTTGTTGCACATCCAGGGATACGCCTCGGCGAGGCCCAACAAAACCGAGTGCCATCGGATAAAGAATGCTGTATGTCTTTGATCCATCCATGCCTTTCATACAAAATCGGCCCCGCTATAGGAAACAAAACCGAGTGTCATCGGATAAAGGATGTTTTATGTCTTTGATTCATCCATGCCTTTCATATAAAATCGGTCCCACTATAGGAACTAGTCACATCTTTAGCGAAATACACCCATTTGCAAACTAATTTGGTTTTGCGAGCCATATCCTTTTCTTGCGAAGCGTACTTACAGTGTGTGCATCTGCAGTCGGTCTACATTAGTCGAAAGTGGTTCTTCCAGTAAAAACTTTATAGCTCACCAGTCAAACAAGCTGGATTCGTCTACACATCTCTTTGTAAGCATCAACTCAAAGAAGAATCGTCAGACCCACGATTTTATGTTCAGTCATATGGATCCACAGCTCGCCCAGCTACTTGTATCATAGTGTCTTCTTCAAACGACAAGGTTTACATCTTGTTAATCATCCTGTAAGTCTTATGGGCCTTCCCAAGCAACAATGATTCGACGATCAGGGACTATAAAATTGCTGCTGGCAGTGGTTACACCACCTGAATCTTTCTGGAATCAACATTTTGGTTCACTAAGGAAGTTCCGTGTGAGTAATTCTGGAGCCTCAAGGTTGAATTCGACCTCGCCAAGCCTCAGCGGTATAGAACATACAGTACTCGCTCAAAGATATTAAGAAAAATCGAAAATTTTTCTATGAATGAGTACAATGTTTCCATTTAAAAGCCGATTTTGGTGTTCGGTACAACCCGTGGTTTTAACTAAACAAAAAACCGATTAAGGGCGTTAGGCGTGCAGCACACAAATTATTTAATTAGGTCTCTGTTGGACATTTTTTGCCGGGAAACACGTCCTAAACTTTTCAGTGAAAACGATTTTAGAAAATAAAACGTGAATTTTAAGGGGGTCTGGATTTGTGCGGAAGGATACTGGTACTGATACTGGGTCTAAAGACCAAAAGAACGGTACGTCCGGAATAGGAAAGCAGTCAATCCTGATAGCAATTAATGTTGTTGGCTTTGTGATCCAATGCGGCCGAAAAAATTAAACCTTCATTAGGACTCTGTGAACAGCAATAATTACTTTACATTCTGTACGAGTATACAAACTGCCGCAGGATAGTCATATTTTTCCCAGTTTTATCCGGTTCCCCCTTCCCCAGAAGAAAGCTCACTCTCAGCATTGGGGAGAAGAATTGTTCTAACGTTTCAGTAGGTCAGCATGCAGCTAGGAGTCTCATCAACCGGGTGCTTGTTCTGTAAACAAAACAAAGCACAAACTGCGTAACGAGTTGTGATGTACGCAAACGCTTCAGTAACAGACTTCGATATAACCACATCTTAGCTACCGGTTTGCTTCTATTGAGAACATTAACATCACTGCTTCCAGTACCTAGTTGCGGTAGTATGTGCTAAGTAGTAAAAATTTAACTAATCTAGGTCCAAACGGTTGTGTAAATATCGAAGACAGCTCTATCTATATCAGACGGGATGGACAGTCTTTCTCCCTGTGGAACTCCAATAACTCCATCTATCACTAAAAGAATCAAATCACATGGTTCAAAAAATGCATTGCTATTTTGGACTATATTAAATCATCACAGAAGCACTAGGAATGACCAAATTTTACCGATGGTCTAAGTGATATGGATCACATCTATATCAATTATACAGTCAACAAAAGTGGAATTCTGTCAGACGGGGAGGTGGTGCGACACCTCCACCCTACCAGCGATGGTTCGCTACGGAAAACTGTTTGCTTGTTTGTGGCGAGGCCAAATTGACACGCACACTGCTGGCAAAAGCAAGTAACACTCCAAAAAACTATCTTATCGAACGAGTAGCAGGGAATAAGACTGTAGTGAGCTTGCTGGAGTCATAGACCCGTTTTATCGAACAAGCAGCAGGGAATAAGATTTTAGTGAGCTTACCGCGTTGGAGTCATGTTTTGTAACGCATCCGAACTATGCCTGAGTGTTGGGGCTGCATGCATACCGGATGTTCGTGGTAGACTAGCACTAGATCCCTTCCTTTCTATGGACTTCCTTAAAAAAAGTAAAGTACGTTGGAGTCATGTATTGTAACGCATCCAAACTATGCTTGAGTGTTGAGGATGCATGCATACCGGATATTCGTGATAGACTGGCACTAGATCCCTCCCCTTCTATGGACTTCCTTAAAAAAAGTAAAGTGGTTTTACGGCGTACAAAATTGCCAGTGATCACGAACGGACACGAAATCAATACCCTTGTGAACCATCTAGCGGTAACTGAGTTCACGGTCCATACTGCAGTGGGTGCAAGTTTGGGCAAAGAAACATCATCATTATGCTTTATTTACATGTGATTCAATTTCAATTTCAACATATATCGACGAACCGTTGATTGTCTAGGCCAAAGGTCAACAGCCCCTTACGACACTTCCTTCAAATTTTCATTGTGAAGACCTGCTCGGCTACCGCTCTGTGTAAGAGAGGCCTTTCCTGAAGAACAGGCATTTATTACCTTCCATAGGATACAATACTTCTATGTTGAATGATGTTCTTGAGGGGATAGGCTACAGGTATGTGGTTCCAAAATCGCTAAGATCGAGCTTCGAATGAGTGAAGGCTAGCGCACTTATTTCCTTTTACCAGTGCGCCCGACCCTGCCTCCGCCAGATGTCAGTGGTAGTGTCTAATTTACCATACGCAACGCGGTACATTATTCAGGTTAGTGTTCGTTTTCCATCTGTCGCTGACATTCGGTGTGAACCTCCCGATAGAATTGCCCTTGTTGATGTGAGTGTCATTTCAGCCAGAAAAGATAAGGGAAGGATCCACCGCCACTTCCACCATAACGGAACTGAGGCAGGCCAATCCCAGCACACAAATACAAGATAACGCATATCATTCAAAAGCAACCCATCTCTTAGGGAAAACAGTTCAATGAACTGGGACTCTTTATATAATATTTTACTTGGAAAAATGTTTGCTGTAAATGTGATAAATACACTACAGGTGACGCGAGTCACCATTGTTGCTTGTGCTAACAGCCTCAATATTCAGCCTCCAATTCTCTCCAATCTTTTTGGAAGCCAGAACCAGTGATTCCACATCAATGGCAGCAGAATAATGAAGAGATCCATCAGTTCAAACAGGCAATTTTGTATGCAACAGAAGACCACATACTGCTTGTCACTTACGGTAGAAGATTCGAAAACTTCGAGTACACACAGCTTTGCATTGCAGGTTCGCGCACTCTCGAATTCGGACGCTGGGCGCCTAGGTTTTTTATCAAACAAGTGGCGGATGGCCCCTGATAATTTTATTACCAATCAACCGTGTGTTGATGTGAGACCGGTGTACGGACAATTGGGGTTAAAAACTTATTAGCAGTGTTCTGAGTAAAAGTAACTGCGTACGATATCCCCGAGAGTTCTCCTACATGTCAACTCTTCGAAATTGAGACGAATACATGCATATAACAACTTTTGTAACAAACACTTCATATGACAAAACGTTTAAATTTAATCAAAACTCGGTCGAGGAACTTTAGCCCCTGTGGCTAGAAGCAAGCCGAATGTATCTCCGAGTTTGGACAAAATTTAAGGGACGAAAATAGTTAAGCAAAAGTGGACTCGTGAAAATCAGAGGAGGCCTCTCGCTGTACAGACCAAAGAGAAAACTAATTTCACTGCAGGACCCAACTCCCCGCTGAAATGGCTAACTAGTTAGAGATCACTGACAAGAGCAAAGTGTATCTAGGGCAAAGGAACGTACCTCCACCACTCGAGCCGCCAGGGCGGCGAAACTAGCCCGAACAACGCAAATCGCAGCTCACAGGCGTGGGCAACTGCGTGGAATGAATGTCGATGGCCGGACAAAGCCCATGAATGTTGGACCAATAAGCTGTGAGCAGCATGTCTATTGGGTCGCGTGACTAATAGTGCACGCAAGTGTAGACGAGAATTGACTTAGCTTCATCAAGCCAATCGGAGAGAGAAACCACATCGATCGTCTGTCGCGCTCTGCCTCGCGTGTCACCGTGTGACAGGCTTATGGCTCACTGACCTCTATCGTCTGTGAAGGAGACAGGGAAGAAAAATTGCGGCCTCAAGCGATACAGGTTGAGAAAAAGGGTAGCTGCACGTTTTACCGCATTACGAGAGCCTGTGTAAGCAGGAAGCATTTATGATGGATACGCATCATATGCCGTCATGCCTCAGAACACGAATAACTAATCGCTTACAAAACACATAGTGAGCATCATGTTTTCTCTTTCGAAGGCTCGTGCATTTATTTCAAGCTGCAGGCCCAGTGAGCCAATAATCTACCAATAGATAGCCTGTTAACCGTACCTTAAATACATATAAAAAGATCAACACTAAGACGTGGATCGCAAATTCCGGTGGGCTTTTTTAAATCAACAGGATATCTGAGAAAAAATGCAAAGCCGGTGTAATGTTGTCACCGGGGTGAAACAAATGTCAGGATGAAACAAATGAAACCCTTATCAATAGCGAAAGACATTTAGATACGGAAAACCACGTTCAGGCCCGAATCTTTCGTTGATGTTGCTCAGGCAGAGAACCACAATAGCTCAATACGGGTAATTGTTGTAGACTGTTATCCACAAAATAACTCTACGTTGTTCTGCTTCATTTGGACCGACACGTTATTGGCAAACTTGGTGATTTCGATGTCGCCAGTTCGACTGCCTTCAAAGCATAGTTAGGCTGCTAAACGTTTCCAAAATTCTCTGTAGCTTCTTGGAACAACCCTAGCCTAAATGTATTGGGCTTTCTTTGTTTTGTACAACTTCTTCTCTGGTCGAAGTAGATGTTCAGTCTACGGATTCACTCGCAAAGCATTGTTTTCATAAGGATACTTCAGTGAAATCTCCTACTCTTCAGGTTTTTCACCCAATGACTGTCCCAAGTTTGCTCTGGCATAATACGGGTTCATCAGTTTTCCGAACGGTACTGACTTGGGACTACGTCCACTATGCCCTTAAACTACCTGAATACATGAAAACGTCAATAGAATGTATCCGGCGTATACCCGTGTGCAACCGTCTCAAAATAGATTCTAGACAATAAATCTCACGGTTGTTTCCCAAACTTTCCAAAAATGATTCTGAACTCGTTCAGTAATGACGTTATGTCAAATAGCGCCGTCAGTCACCAAGATTCAACGCATAATCAACTGGCCTGAGGTAGAGACCTTTCTTACTTTGTCACACTATCATAGGTGCCACGTAGTCTGCTTTGCGAAACTTTTCTGATCGCCACAATAAGTGTGCGCTGGTCGTCAACCTGTGTTGTGCACAAAGTTGGATTGAACATCCTTGCGAAGATATGAAGTAGAGGTTTTCGGCTATTCATCCTGTCGCCCCAGTCGGTGTTTACGTTTCAGCTGCAGCCATTGGTGCATACAGGACAGGATGAATATGTGCTTCAATCTATTTTTTCAACGCGTTATTGTACACTTCCTGCCTAACTCCATTTTTCTTCTTAGGCTCTTGTCAATACAGCATACCATACGATTGTTCCATCCACAATTCGAGTATGGTAAGCATATTCCTCAATGATCCAAGCAACTGTATGAACTAAGCCCAGATGTACAGAGACCATGGTGAACGAACTGGGCTGATGGACCCGAAATCATTCTACTGGACCGCACTGCGAAGCCACCTGTACATTCACATTCCAACTGATTGTGGAAATAGATTGCATAGAAAAGTCGAGGATTGAAAATGGTGTGAAAGGCACCCTGCATACAGGAGCCAGAGGAATCGATTTACGAGAGTTTTGTGAACTTGAAAATGTCTGATTGATGACAAAGTGGTCTCTGTGCCGATTTCGGTGAACGAATAATGGAAAAGGATGAACAGTGAGCTGGAAATCTGGGAAAGACAACCTTCGGGAAATGGGCTGATTAATCTGAATACTAGAGGTTCTTTGTCTCAGCACAACAATGGGCCAGCCGTGATTTATACGCACCCGGCGTCACTCCGTATGACTGTTCGGAGGATTAAGCAATATGATGGTCACTGTTTCTGATGCTAGAAGCTACTTTCTTTATCACCTTGTTTCAGCTTCACTTTTTACCAGCACATAGAAGAGTGCACGTAGGCGCACGGAATCCTGACGTGAGGCGATCGTATAAAGAGTGCTTTGTAACTGCCTTGGTACAAATCATGGGCTGTACTTTAGAGTTTCGCACTGCTTTGTGTGAAATGATTGCAGCGGTCACCTAAGGTGCATAGCCAGGTAGAAAGCCGCGTAAAAGTTGATGAAACAGGTAGTGGTTTGTTGTTGGAACTTGGAGCGGTGTTCCACTATTCGTCGCAGAGTGACACTACCTGATCAGCGCATCCCATAACTTAGTTAAGTCAGGTCTTTTTAACCTCCCACAGATGCAAAACGATTTAACTGAAATGTTGTGAAGAACTTCGCGCCTGTATCAACCAGGCTTATGTCGCAGTACCATTCAGAGACCATCATACGCCTTTCTTAGATGGTAGCAGTAAGCTGGAGGCACTTCCATTGGACGTAACTACTTACAGTCTACAACTGCAGCAAAACAGTTAGCAAACAAAGCCAGGCAGTGATGTGAGACGGGTATGTTGTTTATGGCGTCGGTTTTCTTGGTGATCTGGTAGATGTTCACAATAGCAACTTGTTTAGATGGCTAGGCGTGCAAGGGTGAAAGTCTCGGTGGCGTAAAAGCAGTGATCAAGTAACTGAGTGGTTGAGCAACTGGCTAAGTGCCCCACCCATCTGCTGATTCTTCCTTCCCAATAAACTCACTCCTTGAGTTTTTTTAGAGGGGGCACTGTTACTCTAGCTTTCGTGACGTGGTTCGCGTCAATCGGTGCCTGCTGAAGTCGACGGGGTTGACATTGTTTCCCATGTCCTCATCAAGCGCAAAGTACTTCGTGACGTTTTCTGGAATCCAACTCTCGCTGAAACATTTTGTGTAATCCATCTGGAGCAGCTGGGCTAGCTTAGGGTGGAGCAGTCTCCAACCTATACAACTGGGTATCCGTTTGTCATGACTGGCTTTCTAAATCGCTCCTCATTTGGGACAAATTACAAGGAGATTTCTTCGTTTGTGTGGGACGTGACCTAGCTTTGAATCGCGTTCACTGGATGGGAAAATGGTTCCATCTAGATGGTCAATGCAAGCAAATTACCTGAGGGTCTGGAATCCTGCCGTCAGGAACCAAATTGCGGATGGAATGCGGTGGGTTTTTTTTGAATCAATTGTTTAAATCATTTGAATACACCGATTCAGTTTTCATGAGCCACCAATATTCAAAATGAAATTAAATAACGAAATTCCATTTTGAATAGGCATTTCTTACCGTTACGCTCCCCAGCAGCTCCCAGTAGATTACTCTCCTCCTTAGTTGGAGGGGCAAACATGTTGAAGGCATTTTTTGCGTGCGGAAGGACCATTCTCTGAAATTGTGTCACCAGTCCAAGAAAGGCAGTAAATGTTGAGAAACCGTTTTTGTGTTGGTGTACTAGTCTTTATTGCAAGTACCCACTATAGAGGATTCGTTCTTACCAAGTCTAGCTCGGTTCCTCCGTTCAGAATGTCACAATGCTTACACAGCTATCTGAAGTTTTCTACTGAACTTGGTCGTCTGATCCACTGTATCTTTCTGACTGCACAACGAAATACAAGCTCGATAATCTTTGGGATATTTTTCTACCAAAATCAATAAGCTGCTCAGAGGAAGGATAATTTCGCTGGATATGTGGAACTTACTTCTGAGAAGTTATCACTCCAACAGCCAGTCATACGTAGTCACGTGATGTAATTTCCGCTATTGAAGGATGGATGGCGCTATGTCCTGCTTAAGTGAGAGATAATTACACTGCCGATCAGCTGCTCGTGGCTGAATGGTCAAGTTTTCATTTACTGGCTGGAAGTTTGTGGGCTTGAAGCTCTCTCAGTTTCGTGAGCTGCTCACTGCTGATGTTTCCCAACAAGGATGGGGCAGCTATATAGTGGTCTTCGGCTTTTCAGCAGAGATTGGCTTCACTGGGTGCTCTTCGGCTTTTCAGTAGAGATTGGCTTCACTGACCGGATGAAAGTTCTGTTGGATATTCTTTTACATCACACAACCATCTAACCAGTAGGTACCCGTAGACTATTTTATCAAAACATATTTTCCAAATAATGACACATGCATGTCAATAAAACCACAAAGTCCCAACAGGTCAGTCAACCGCAGGATGGGGCCCACTTGTCCCAGTGGATATATTAACAGTCAGGTGAGAGAAGACAGACCAAACGTAATAATTTCCAAAGCGATTAGGTATGCGAATCTATGAGCTTAGTAGTCGGAATGGGAAATATTGGAACAACCAAACGATGAATATAGAATAACAAGCGATTTGTGAAAGGTTACCTAGTGAGACTAATCTGTGTGTAGAGACTGAAAGGATGAAAAACCGATACCGCCGAAGATAGAGGTGGATTTATTTTAAACTAGAGCTGGCATCATTCTTAAAAGGAAGTAAGGGACTTAGCGCTGTCTTGCTCAAGTGAACTACAGCAGAAACTTGATAGTACCTTGTGTTTTACGAACGGTGGGACTTGTGCCTATGCATCAAGTTGGATATAAGGTTATTAATTATAGGTAACCGTAAGCGCCCTGAATTGAACTCTGTATCCCGGATAAACATATTTGCGAAAGGGATGTTGAGAACCTGGAACAACTGGCTAGCCCTATTCGACTAGCGGACAGTAGTTCCTGCGACAGACTGAAGCAGAATCTGAGGCTGTCCCAATGAAGCTTCAAACCATCTTCAGCTTGTGGTAACATATAAAGCTATTGGAGACAATTTAGTCTCCTGTTAGTCATTTGAA